ACTGGCATTTGGCCTGTGGGTACCAAAATCAGTCTGTTATATAGTTATATCATTGTTTTTATTTACATTTACACCTATTATTATAAAGTATCTGAGTATGTGTTTGTCGTTTTGATTTATGTGTTTGATTGACTTAAGGAAGCTGAACGCCATTCCCAGAGAGAAATCAAATACAACAACAACAACAACAACAACAACAAGTTGATGACAAGAGAGAAGCAAACGCATATCTCATCCAGTTGGTCTAACAATTTTGATTCAATCAATATAAGGAGATTGAACCAGTATCGTCGCCTTCGGATTGATCTGAACCCCAAAAGGACTCTAAGAATCAACATTGAGATTTGAACATAATAGTAGTCTGAAACTGAAACCCAGAAGTGAGATTAACATACAACACAGAACAGTGGTTGGTCCACTTTTGGGTCATACCAGGTTAGCGTCAACCAGGAATCTCATCACGGTGATGTTATCAATGGCCTAGGAGTTGCATATAGCTTGTGCAACAAGTGCAATCCGAAAGAACAAAAGCATTGGCATTAACTGACTCAAACTAAACTTAACATACATATGTAATATCAAATCTAGTCATTTGCTTGGAATTTTAGAACATAATGGATCCAGTCAAAAGGGATAGTAATTGTACTGAATCAATGTCCATATTACAATTACAATGAAGTTTACAAATACATTTTACCTAGCCTACAAAGTACAAATCACCTTTGAGTTCAGACACTGCATGCTTGTCCCAATGTCTGGCAACATGACCGGCAAAAAAAAGTCTAGAGTCTAAAGTCTAGAGTCTAGAGTCTAGAGTCAGAGTTTCGATGCATAAAGGAGTTCAAATGAATCGAGTCTAATCTAATTTCAGCATTTTAATTTACCAGTCAACTTGAGCGCCATACATCAACCCTTGAGGATTCCCTATCAAGCCAAGACAAGACACCGATGTGATCACCTTGATGCTTTGTTCCAAACGCTTTGTGAAGAGCTCACATAGTGAACATCTCACCTGAGATGAGGCAACAATCAGGCAATGGTATATTATAACAGAAGAGTATACTATGCTACAACACTATACTACAAGACAAGCTTTACCCTACTTTCACACCGACGTTCAACCCTTGTGCTTACTTTTAGTAAAGCCATTGATGATCCATATTTGGTTGAAATCAAAACCATGAAGACTCAAACAATCAAGAATGAGTCATGAATCATGAAGCGAACCGCTAGTGCTAAACTTGTGATGTTGAATCTCTTTGGGCCGCAAAACATTTATCTATGCTAAGCAATAATTTGGCATGAATACACTAGTACTACTAAAAATAAGAACCAAATCAATCAAACACTGCCAAACCACCGCTGCCAAGTGAGTTGTGGATGCTGAGAGCGAGTATGCCAGGGAGTTCAGACTGAACATGGCGGGAATTTTCTGCTGTATCTTTGGGAATCGATGTGTAACTCCTGCTGCTCGGCAATCTTGACCCAACCTTGGAGCGATTTCAATCAGTCCGGCCTAGGAAAAAATAGTTAAAAAATGAACATCTAGAATCTAGAATCTCTAGGAATCTAGAGGAATCTAGCATCTGAATCTAGTAGAATATAGAATCTAACATCTAGTCATCTACAACCTAGAATCCAATAAAGATCTTAAGCATATTAATAAAGAAGTCTAGATCCTAGGACAAAATAAAGGGAACCATTACAGAAAGATGATCTGCGCACATAGAGAGTTTTTGCGAGCCTGTGAGATATGATAAACAGTCATGCAAGATTCTTGCCTCCAGTGACTCAAGCTCAAGACTGAAGACTCTACCATACCTGTAGACCTGAATCCAAGTACTGTAATATGTTATAATTTATAATCATCGAAATCAAATCATTAGGCTTTGTCTAGAGTCTAGAGTCTAGAATCTAGAAACTTATAGTCCTGATAACTGGAATCTAGAATCTAGAATCAATAAATTGTAATTCAATTTCACCTGAATGCACTAGTCTATTTTTTTAAGTTCAAGGTTCGACTCGATTCTGATTCATATAAAGTCGGCATGAATCAATTAGTAGTTTGAGTATAAGTCTTAGTCTCATGAATCATGAAACCGTTCATAGAATCATGTGGCATTGACATTTGAAATGAATGATATATAACAATTGTCCTTACAAGTCACTTCAGCTCAGTGTTACTCTGATTCTACATGATCAAAAGATCACACCGAAACAACTCCCATTCAAACTACAACACGAATCCAATGCAACTTTACATACAAGAAACGCAGTCTTCAACATCATTTCTGGTGTCCATGTCTTCCAGCGTCCAGATCCAGGTACCCCGGTCTTTCTTCTCTTGCCCCCTTTATGTTCACCGCGAGCGAGAGCCACATCAGATTTGCGAACTGCATGCTGCTTGATGTAGATGTTTATGATCGTCCTAACAAGCAAATCAGTCATACTTCTGCTGCTGGGTTGTCTTATGTAATCCCTGTTGCCATATCATGTACTAGCAATGTTAATCTGAACAATGTAAACTTACAACTTACAACCTCTAGACTCTAGACTCTAGTATTTGCTTCTAGCGTTCCCGTGACACTAAAATCATAATCATAAGTACTTACCCAGAGAAGCAAGTCATGTGTCTGTGACATGGTGTTGATGAATTATGTCGTTTGATTCACAATGGGTTACTTGTTAGTTTCTTCAAGATTCAACATGTAGTCTGCTTCATGGTTGATGCTTCAAATACCGTTGTACCAAGTGGCCGCTCTGAAGTACGTAGCATATGTAGTTCTCGCTGACTCTTGGTCAGAGCACGGCCTCAGAACATATGCAGTTCACCCAAAATCAATTTAAAGGCTTACGCCTAACAGCCGGGCGCCGGCCCACTTGGGTGTGTGTAGGGCTGGGTCGGGTGCACGTTATGCTATCGGGGTACTGGGCCCTGGTGGCGCCGGAAACTGGTCCGCGTCGGAGACGAGGGCCCTATATGGAGCAAAGTTAAGCTATCTGGCGCGCATCTTGGCCCTAGGTTGGGCCAAGTGGGGCCCATGTGGTCTATGTTGGGCACATCTGGAGCCCATGTTGAGCCTATGTTGGGCCTATGTTGGCCTATGTTAGGCCCATGTTGGCCTATGTTGGCCTGGTTGGGCCTATGTTGGGCCTATGTTGGCCCCATGTTGGCCTATGTTGGCCCTATGTTGAGCCATCTTGGAGGCTATGTTGGGCATATGTTGGCTATCTTGGGCCTACGTTGAGGATATGTTAGGCAATGTAAGTCGTCTGGAGGGCCTCTACCCACAAAATGTCGATTAAGCCTGTCCGCCCGGCGCGCATTACCGACACCACCCTTGAAAAACACAGCATTTTTGCATTTCTTCCTTTTCCCCGCGTCGTACTTCGATATGCGCAATAAACCCTGTAAAACACAGTGTTTTTATACCTCACACACACGATACACTGTAAATTACAGGGGCTTCAGTGACCCGGTGGTCCCCCCGTTTTGGGACCGAGGGTCGGCGGCAGCCGGCGCGACCGTCTATAACCTTCGGTTACCACCGAAGGCCTCCGGCGAGGACACGGGCGCGTGGCCGGCGCCCGGATTTCAAATTGTAAGGGCTTCGCCCGGGTGCCGCCGACCCCTTTTCAGGAGGAATATTCCTTTCCAACGTTGAGCAAGGCCCATTCATTTTGTCCCCCCTCCATCCAGTCCTGGAAATACCACCCTTCACATCCCTTCACCGCTCCGCTTGCTGCGGAGTAAGAACTCACGCTTCAGAAAGTCACGGCGGTCTCCTCGCGTCTCCTCGCCCCATGGTGCCATGTCCGCGCCGCCCAACTGGCGTGGCGAGTTCCGCGGCTTCGGTCTCCGAAATCGGCTGAAATGGAGACTAAAGGTGGCAGGTGGTGAGCTGTTGGAAGGTGAGCTGTTGGTCTAGAAAGCGATATGAAGCATCAGTTCCATGGAGGATAGGGGTGCCGAACTGGGAGGAAGGATAGGGGTGCCCATAGATAGTGCCCATGATTCACTCACTGGATGGGTCTACAGACCACCCCAACATCGAAGCCCTGGTTCAGATGAATTGCTTTTCTTCCTCCACAGAGAGAAACTCACAGACCCTGTGGGTTGGGAAAAGATGGGACATTCGCCGGCTCCGTTTCCGACATGCCGGTTTGGAGGAAGGTAAAAGATGTTACAAGGGCTAAGAGCTTCTTTGGATTGCTCATCTATCATCACCTATCATCACCTATCCCAGACACTCCATGTATGGCATATGTACTTACAGGCAGGGGTGGTGCCAGGGGGGTCTGTCTGGGGCGGCAGTCCCACTGGTCGTGTTTGGGTCTCACCGACCCACCGCCCCGACGCCACATGGAGCTCCGCGTCGCCGCCACCAAGCCGCCCGGCCGACGACGAGTTCGGCGCCGGTTCGCGCTCGGCGCGCGGTTCGCTTCGCGCGTCGGCGCAAGGCCAAACGGCCCACGCGATACGTGCGGGGCAAAAAAGGGCCCGGAGTGTGCAGCGACGCCGTCCGAGCCGATGCTCACAGTGGGGCAGCCACGCAATAGAGACAGCTAAGTTTGTTGAGGTGTGTGCTGCGGCACGGCTGCGGCGCTGCTGTGGCGGCGGGCCAGCACCAGAGCTGCGGGAGCTAGTAGCTGGGATTTGCTTGTCTGTGCTCAGTGATGCAAAGCAAGTGGAAGACCTATTGGCGCAAGAGTGGGTCGATTCCTGGCAGGGCTGGACAGAGCTGCAAGCCAATGGCAGCGACAGTGTAGCCGTGGCAGTGGCAGAGCGTTTCCTGCGAATTGCCGGCGCAAACGTGCCGGTCCGGATGGCGTCCAACCGAGAACGGCTGCGTCAACTGGAAGAGGAAGGCCTCGACCTCAAGATTGCTTCCTCCCATGGTGTCAATAACTGCCTGATTGATTCATTGTTGCTGGGCTTGACGCTGAGAGGCATCGTTCCGCAGAAGTATTCTGTGGGTGAGCGCGCGGCTGTGCGCGCAATGTGCCGGGAAAACTTGCTGCACGCGCATGGAACCCCCCTTGGAGTGTACTTAGACGGGCACAGAGATACACCGCGTATTCTCAGCTTCTTCTTCCGTGAGCTTTGGGCAGCGGAAATCGCCATTCGAGTGTACTTCTATGATTGCCTTGATCAAGCAGCGCTGGGCGGAGCTGCGGCGGAGCTGGCGTACGTAGACTTCACATGGGGCGCTCCACCCAGTGACAGGCAGCACACGCTGTACGTGTACAATCATAATCAATCATACTGACCCGACAGGAAAGGGATATCACTTCGATGCGTTAGTCCGGCTGCCGACGCGCGAGAACGACTGGAGCTCCGCGTCACAAGAAACTGCTGCCGCCATGAGCGCGCAGGAAAGCGCGGCGAGGACAGAGGCAAACAGCGCCGGCACCGACGAACGAGCGCAGTGGGCAGTCCGCGCAGAAGGCGCAGGCCGAAGATTGGGCTCGCACAGCATAGCGCCGGAAGCAGACAAGGGAGCCACGCAGAAAAGAGCCCGGAGGGAAGAACCAGCGAGGAGCACGCAGCATAGACCATCGAGTACTGGTCAAAAGATACAGCGGCGTCAGCCACGGCAAGCTGCGCGGGAGAGTGGGCTCGCCAGGCGGAACCGCCGTACGAAGCAGCTGCGCGAAGCTGTGCAAGGGGAGGTACAAACTGAGAGCAGCGCTTGCCAGACTCAACAAAGGGAAGACCCCCTTGATGCAAAGGCAGTGTCCACGTGGCGGCCACTCAAACGGCTGCGAACGAAAACATCCGTAACTGCTAGCCAAAACAGCGCTGTCAGCAGCGAGCTTTTTGACGATGACTTGTACGTGCTGCAGCTGCAAGCCGTCGAACAGAGCAAGGACCCCCGCCGCACCTGAGTGAAGCAATCAGCGACGTTGCCTTGGAAGTGGCAAAAGATGGAAGCAGGGGTGGCGTATGACCTGCCAAATGTACACTGCAGTTTCAAGGCGTGCGAGTTCCAAGCAGACGATGAAGAAGACCTGGCTGTGCACATAGCCACTGCTCACGACGCGGCCTTTGCAAGCAGCATGGAGGCAACACTGACCGAAGCAGAAAAGCTACGCGCGTACCAGGGAGCGGTTACTTGGCGCTGCCAGCACGGCGCGCCCGTGGCAAATGTATCCATAGACAGGCGTGCCCTGAGACTGTATCGGCAAAGCTTGGAAGGAGACAATGTCTCGTCGTTGCTGTGCTTTGTGTGTGCACGGAAGTACCCGCACGCAAAGACGGGACGAAATCAACCGATACGGTGGATGCGGCCGTTGGACAGCGAGGGGACAAGTGTATTTGGCTTAAGCGTACTAGAGGCGGAGAAAGTGTTGGGCGTAGAAACGTATGTGTAATCTTACGTTGCTGGTGGCACGGTTTTCGCGCAAGCTGAGATGAAGAAAGAGTTGCAGGACTGGTCATGTGTAGTCAACTTGCAGGGGAAGCTGCTAACCTTGCTGTGCTGCCCAGAAGACAAAACATGCCAGAAGCGATGCAAGGCGGATGAAATGTGCACCAAGTGCCGCGTGCCAGTCTGCAATGGCTGTCGACGGGCTTTGCTGTGGGAAGGAAAGCAACCCGCAGCGGCCTTGAGCAACGATATGATGGTGTATTATGCGCCGCAAGACATTTTTGAAAGAGAAGTCACAGTCATGGAGATGCTGTGTGCAAGCCCCTGTCTTACAACGATGGTCTGCTTCAGCTTGGAACAGAAGCTACGAGGGGATCGCGCCTTAGATCAAGATCAGTGGATGAATCGAAACCGATTGGTGGCGCGTGGTAATGCGACGACGTTCCCCTTGGCGTGGGAGGACTTGCTGCAGCAGATGCAGAACTTAGAGTCAGGAAACAAGGGCAGAAAGCGCGAGAAGAACAAGGGTGGGCTACCGCACTGCGGGGAAGCGCTCCGGCAAATGGCCAGCGTGATCCTGAAGAGCGCGCATGCAAAGAGCGACGATGTGGACATCGGCCGTGTAATACATCAGGCTCGCGTGCGGCGTCAGGTTGTGGTGCAGCTCATAGAGGCGGCGGTGGAGCGAGGTCACCCCGCCTTCCAACATGTGGAAATGGAAGTGATGTATTGCAAGGCAGCGCAGCTGCCTGAGGACGCGGTCCCGGAAGAAGTCATCGCGGTGTTACCATTGGACAACGCCCTGAACCAAATCATCCGGCAGAAAGCCGCGACGCCGGTGCGAGAAGCAATGCCACAAGAATTCAGGCACATGATGAAACCCAATGCTGTGGTAGCCGAAAAAACCAGCGTCGGGTTAACGGACGTCAATGCCAGCCACGTGTCTGCGTTGCAAGCGACCGCAACGAAGAGCTCCGGCGACGGGGAGGAAGTGCCGGAATATGTACTTCGGACAGGGAACAGACTGCTGGACCAATTCCAGCCAAAATACTTTGGCATAGCATTTCCGTATGTCTTTAAGTACTGCACCGGCATGCCAGACCCGCCAGCATGGAGCGCCAAGGCACGTTTCCGCCGCCACCCCGACGCACCGCGGGTAGAGTTGGCTGACTGGGTGAAAATCATGGCCCGCCGTTGCGAGGCACACGTTGCTCGTGACTGGGTCTTCGGATTTTCTGCCTGGAATTTACATTTCCGTTCAGCCCTCAATTTGAGCCGTAATGTGGCTTTATTTGACGTTCCGGTCTATGACGATAGTACAGATACATGGCGTCGGCTAAAAGGAGAGGATATCGAAGCAGGTGCACAGGAGTTGCTGAAAGCGCTGCGAGGCCAGTACATTGACCGACGAGGCAGGCCAAAGGCAGTAAATATGGACATAAGTAAGCTGCAGTATGTGCGTGGCCTGCGCCCAGCCGCGCGGAAGCTAGTCAAGAACATGCGACACACAGCACAGGAATTGCCGGGAACACAGGAAGCCCCCAAGCGGATGCGTTTCGAAATCGAAGGCATGCGGATACGCTTCGGCGTGCCGCTCTTTGTCACCTTTTCGCCCGACGAAGCACACCAAATGCTGTACGTCCGCATGGCGCGAGCTCGCTGCAGCGATCCGGTGCGCGCGGCGGCCTGGGACCAAGACTGGAACGTGGGGGACCGAGACTACCCACCTGTGGACAATGACACGACTTGGCCTATTCATGTAGAGACCTTCCGTCGGCTTGTGCCAGGCTGGGATCTCCGACGTCAAGCTTTGGCGCGGGATCCGCTGGCCAGCGTGGACGGGTTCCGTATGATTGCAATGTTAGTTTTGGAGCATCTGTTTGGGGTAAAGACGTGCCCGGCGTGTCCCGATTGCAATCATAGAGATACTGGCGCAGAGCCGTGCCAAGACGACATGGGAAGTAATGCAACTGTGGTTGGCGGCGTCTTTGGACGCATGGACGCAGCTTACATTACGATTGAAGCGCAGAAGTCGTCCGGGTCATTGCATGGGCACTGCCAGTGCTTTGTCCAATGCTTGCATCAGCATACACAACTGCAAGAAATCTTCCAACTTAGCTGCGAGCGGCTGGCCGCTTTACGGGCAGCGTACTTAGAGTACAATGCCCACGTCATGCATGGCACGTACGCAGGCCAAGATACGGAGGCCATAGCCCAGGGCATTGCCGACGCAGAAGCCGCATGGCCTGAACACAAAGACGCGGTGGCTATGATCCAGAGCCCACCCTACCAGCAGCGTCGCATGGCAAGCGCAACAAGCGGCAGAAGAGGAAGGCAGAGCCTGGGCACAGCAGTATTTGGCAGAGGATGTGAGCACCCTCCAGTTCTTAAAGCAACATCATTATCACCCGCCCAGTGGAGAGACAGGTGACCGCGTGCCCTTGCATGGCTGCCAGAAAGCAGATCGTCCCGGGGTATGCAAAAGCGACTTCCCCCGCAAAGCTTGGGTCACGCCGGTCGCAAAAATACTTTGTCCATGCCAAGCAGAAGCGCACGGTATGGCCACGCAAGGGCGCAAGAACCGCATTGGGGCGTTGCACGGTCCGTATGGCAACGAGTGGCTGAATTGCTGTCACCCAGCAATGCTAGCCAGTCTACGCGGAGCAAATGTGAACGTGCAAGTCCCGTACCGGCTCCCGTTCGATTGCCAGCGCTGTGGGTCTGACCTGTCTGCAGCGCAACGGCGAGAGATAGTTCGCGCAGCACAACGGGCACAGGATGCGCAGACGGGATACTGCGCGGACTACTGCGCGAAGAGCCAACCCATGGCATTTCATGAAATCAAAGAAATGCAGAAGGGCCAGCAAAGGCTCCAGCAAAGCATGCAAAAAGAACCGGTGGAAAAAATCGGACAGAGGACTGCGACGCGATTCCTGAGTGATGCGTACTGCAAAGGCATCGTTCGCGGGCAGGTGGAATGTTGCAACCTGCGTGCGTATCAGAAGGGCAGCTGCGTCGTGGCCGCGGAGCGAATCAGCACGGCAGCGTTCTGCAGCTTCCCTGGTCGAGCTTTGTTGCAGGCGGTCAATGTAGCCTTCGACGAGGAGGCAGTGGGGCACTCGGGCAGCAGATACGTGTGGGGCAAAAAAGGGCCCGGAGGCCGCCAAAGCTTACGCGAAGTCAGCCCCGCGCAGGCATATGGCCACAGACCGTCGCGCCCGGACATATGGTGTTTATCCCCGTACGAATTTACCACAACGTGGGAGCTGGAGCCGTTGCGGATTCCACAGAGCCATAATGAGTGGAAGCAAGTGCGAGCCACGCAGTCGGATGTGAAGTTGACAGCAAGGGGCGCCGCTAAATTCGGCACGGCCGGGGCAGAGAACTGCAAGGTGCGGCTGCTGCCAGGCGTCGACTTCAAAAGAGCGGGTGGCGCAGAAAGCCGGAACAAGGCGTATTACCCCTCGAGTGCCGGAAACGCATTGTGCCACGCCTGGTGTTTGCGTCGCAAAGCTCGACCACAGTGCCCCCACATGGCCAATGCACCGGTACCGAATAGAGCGGGCGAAGACACGGAGAGCAATGCGATGATGACGATGACGTATTTTCGGGCATGGACACTGGACAAAAAACGTGGCGGAGACCAAGTGCCGTACGTCAAGCACTTGCGTGAGCCGGTGACGACGTGGGACAGAAGCTTGCGCAGGTGGTTGCTGCAGCTGCCGTGCGCGGAGACAAAGCAATACGTGGGCAACTTCTTGAGCGTGTACCGCGTCCGGCCGGAAAGCGAGCTGGACAATAGCGACAGCGAGGACGACAATGAAGATAATGAAGAGCTGGTTGCGACGGAAGAGTTGTTAGGCGCAGCCTGCCAAACACATGTGGCAGTGGAGGAAGGCAACAAGAAAGAAAGCAAGTGGTCCAAACATCGAAGTTTGCTCGTAGACGCGTTACAGCGCGCCGAACAGCACTGGGGTGGCCGCAGCGCATCGGAGAATGGACCGGGAGAAGTAGGAAACCCATATGCGACAATGGACACAAAGGGCATCGTGAAAGGGTTGCGTCGCGCGGCCGAGGCCCCGTCGGGGAACGCAACGCAGAGGAACCTCGAGCCGAGCGCGACGCGACGGCCCGGCCGGTTGCAGGAGACCCTGGCCGCCATCGACCGTTGGAGCAGCTCTGTCGCCGACGGCAAATGCCGAACTGTGTCGGCGCGTCGCGGAACAGGTCAGAGCAGAGCTGGTGGCAGAAGACGGTGCCAGTCCGCAGCCACTGCGCTGGGTGGTGCACGGGGGCCCCGGCACGGGAAAATCGCACACGTTGAAATTGATCCGTCGGGAGCTGTTCGAAGACATCGCCGGTGGACGCATGGCTCGCAATACCACGTTGTCACGCTGCAGGCGGTGATGGCAAAGGAACTGGACGGCGACACCATTCATCATGCGATGGGCTTAAATTGGCAAGGCGCGTCCGACGACAAGATCAGCGGAAGCAAGTTCCTCGACCTGAGCGCGAAGGCCGTTCAATGGCGGTGGCTGATAATTGATGAAATCAGCATGGTAAGCGCTGAGCTGCTGGCAAGAATGGATTTACGATGCCGAGAGCTGGTGCGCGATCTACAGCAGAGTAAGTACGCCCCAGGTAGCGCACACGCGCAGCCCTTTGGAGGGTTGAACGTGCTCGTGGCAGGGGATTTATGGCAATTGCCACCACCACGCGGAACTTTTTTAGGGGAAGTGCCTTGGGAAATGCTGACCAAGGGGAGCAGCAAAAAAGTAGCCCACGCCGTGCATGGGCAGAAGCTGGTGTGGGGCTCGCAGGCGGAGAACAGCATGATCCACGGCATCACAGAACTAGAGCAATGTGAGCGCGCGCGAGACACATGGCTGCAGAGGCTGCAGCAGCAGATTCGGGAAGGTGCCCTAAGCGCCGATAATCATGCATTCCTGCATGGGCACGACACAGGTGTCCCGGGAAGTTGGTCTGGGGAAAAACTGGACTGCGAAAACGCAGCGTGCCAGCAACTGCTGCAGAGCAAGGTCGCCCCTGCGCGCATTCGCAGACTAGAGTGCGAGCAATGCCAGCAAGAACGCGCCTCGAAAAAGCGAGTGTTGGATGGAAACATGAGGGGTGACGAGGAAAGGAAGCTGGAGCAAGCAAAAGCTGTGTTTGCAACGAATGCGGTGAAGTACCACGTCAATAAGCTGCGGGCGCTAGACTGGGCACGCAAGCACGGGCAAGAGGTCAAATATGCCATTGCGAAAGACACAATTTCCAGCCGGGCGTTGCAAGAAAAACCGGACTTGGGCAAAGAGAAGTTGACATGGCTGCAACGTCACGATCAGGACTGCGGCGGGCTGTACGGGGTTTTGCCTTTGTGCATCGGCATGCCTGTCACGGCAACAGATCACTTGGATCGCCGCAGAGGCATACTGAAGGGATGTCGCGGCACAGTTGTTGGATGGAGCTGGCACGAAGCAGCAGGCACAGCAGCAGGGAGTACGACACAGATCTGGAACCAGCTCCCAACTTGTGTCTTTGTCCGGTTCCAGACCAAGTCAGAGTGGCGAGTGCAGGGGCTGGCCACGGAGAACGTGTTTCCGGTGACTCTCCAACGTCAAGCGTGGCACCTGGACAAGGGAAGAAAGCGGCCCTTGCTGCGGGTGGTGCGACGGCAATTCCCGTCTGGGTGGCTGTTAAGGGGGATTTTGTTTCCCCCAGCTACTCAGCAACAGACTCTACTCAACAGACTGAGCCTGCCAGCTTGTCTGGTCAACTCAACCTGTGATTGATCAGTGACATGCCTTCCCCCAGCTTCTCAAGCCAGCTTTTCAACTCAACCTGAGTCCTCCCAGTTTTTTCTGACTTAGTCCGGAAATGAGGACGTGAGTCGTTCCAAATTTTCACGACGTTTAAAATCAATTTTCATTTCTCGGTTTATTTATTTTGAAAAGTCCAGGCATTAAGTTTAATAATAGTTGGGTGCAAGTTAGTTTCCCGTCGTGATTTACCCAAGTCTTGACATGGATAAATCACGACGGGAATAGGAAGCTTTTGATTTCTCAGTCATTGTTGTCACCGCAGCTGTCTTTGTCATTGTCACCGCAGCTGTCCTTGTCAGTCATTGTCACCGCAGCCGTCCTTGCCTGGTGCCAGTCACCGTCATTTTGTGCCTGGACCTCAGCTACATCCCCTCTTGGCCATCATTGGCATCCATTAAGTATTGATGATCAGGTCGGATGGATCTACACGAAGCCATCGAGAAGGTCGAAAAGTGTGTGGTCAGCTTGGTCAGGACGCACCCGTTGGACGCACGCATTGGACACACACATTCCTTAATTCGACACCTCCAGGAAGAAAATCAACGTGACCTTGGATACCTCGATCCAGCTGGTGGAGTCCATGATGAAGCGAGACATCACCGAAGATGAGGACAATTGTCATGTATAATTTATTATGTTAGTTTATTATTTTTGAAATTGTCACTGACCTCCATGTACTGCTCTGTTCGTCTCTGACCTCAATTGCCAGGCCATGCAGGTGTTCCAGACTTTGAGCATCTCCATGAAACTCATTGAGAAGCCTCCTCAGGCCAGATATTCATTCCTGTCATTCCCGTCAGTTGATGTCATGAAATTCCAATGTCAGGGCGAAGACCAGGACCCTCCAGGACCAGGACTGCAAAACAAGCAGAACGGTTACGCTGAAGCTTGCTAAGTGGATGTGACAATAATAATACAGTGATTATATAGTTTCATTTGACAGGAGTTACGGTCGCGGCGCTTTGCAAAGAGTGTCAGTGACTGAATAATAACAAGCGTTCTGTAAGTTGCCATGGCCAGATTCCATCAGAGCCACCTTGATGCCAAGGCGTGTTCAACATGGCCGATTCTGACGAGCACGACTGTTCTGCCCCGTCCTCCTCCTCACAAAGGCCGGCTTGACTCTTCGGCCACTTGCTGTCATTGACTCTGGAGTGCCTTGATTTTGTCATTGTCATTCACCACATGCCAAAATGTTTGAGGCTGAACGATGTTTGGCAATGACATTCAAGACATTCAGTCATTCAAGCAGTGCAAGTGGCACTCAATGACATTTTAATGACACACACTGACTGTTCTTCCACGATGAACTAGCCTTTTTGCACAGTTCCTCCGAGTGAAGCCATGTCGTCAACGCCGGCACAGCGAGTTATCATTTTTGGATGGGCTAGGAAACCCAAGCCCCGACACGACAAGAAGGCTCAGGCGTGAATATCGTCATCATTGAGTTTTTGTATGTTTCAATTTAATTGTTTGCGTTTGTTTGAGACCAACTTTCAACAAAGCAGCATCAGCATCATCTGATGAGGTTGATGTGATCCTTGATTGCGGATGGAGAATCTCGAGGCCACATCATTACTGGAAAAAGTTCAAGGATCACTGGACCACAATCGACATAGACCTCGCAGAACACCTCTTCCACACCAAAGATGGCCACTATTGGGGCGGCCGTCACAGCGGCTGCGCCCATCACGAAACGCAGCGTGGAGTGACTGGGCTTAACGATCTTAAACGCACGTTGAAATTGAAAGAAATTGTCCTGGGAGTGTTCTTGCCCGTGGCTTCAGCTTGTGTTGCAGGTCTACAGCCACCGACGATGCAAAGATGTCGTGCAGATGATCGTGAACTTATTCAACGAGAATATCCTGAGGATCTTCCTTTCATGCAATGCTGGGTATCATCGCACTGGAGCCTTTGTGATGCTGATCGCAAGCATCTTGTGGGCGCTTTGGACACTGTCAGTGTCGTCATTGTCAGTCATTGTCAACTTTGTGCTGTTAGTGTTTGTGATCAGATTGTCACTTCTTTGGCGACCCGTTAGACAAGCCGTTGAGGAAACCGGAGTGTGGGTATGCCCTGTCATCGTCTCCCTCTCAGATAGTTGGACCCATGACATCCAGGACTGTGAGAGCTTCTTGTCACCTTCCAGTGACTCTTTTCAGACACGGTACCTTGAAGGCAAAATTTAATGTCTTAAAACCAGACATAGGTTGAGTTGACAGCTGACGGGTTGAGAGTTGTCTAGCCAAGGCAAATGGCATTTTATCGGAACACCGTGCTCAGGGTCATTGGCCGGAACCGGGACCTGCGAAATGAAGCAGACTACGTGTACTGGTTGGGGGCATGCCTTGATAACTTCTGGAAAGAAAACACCTGCAAGCCTTGGCCGTCGCTTGGCTTGTGTGCAGTTGAAGTTGTCTGAACTTCTTTGCGAACTTCATTGCCATGTAATCATAACAAAATGCAACTAAGGTTGGTTCGTGACGATGCTGACAAGACAGAGGACAAGGCTGAGGTTTATGAGGTCGAGTCAGATGATGACCACCGTCTAAGGCACGACGAGTACAGGCGGCATCCACCAGTTCCACCAGCCCACCAGGTTGCGTTCCACCGTGGAGAGCTCACCCACCTCCGCCTCAAGTTTCCCCACACATCGGCGATGAGGAGGCTGTCTTGACATCCCACAATATGCCAAATGGCCTTCGCACCATCCTGCCCTCAGGTTGCATTCGTCGTGACAATGACAGTATCATAATAATTATGACATAATTTTATGACAGTCGGCGTAATAACAATTACACTTGCCCCAAAAAATAGGCGCGTCAGTGACTCATTCAATGTCAACTAAGGCACGAGGTTTTTGCAGACGCACAGCTTGATGAGACTGGGCCGGCCTTACGCATTGTCGCGACGCTTCCAGTGGCCCGGCAACTAAAGTTTGCCGCGGCGTGCTTTCGTCAGTTGAAATATGGCATATATGGCGACAGGTTTCACAAATACATGTCGAACTGTATCTCCTGCGATGTCACCTGGTTCCTCGGCAATCCTCAGCCCGTGGGTTGAAAAATGCGGTGCCTCATTGCTCGTTAATTGACATTGATTTGTTTTGTCATTGTCTTGATTTGTTATTGTTCTCAGCTTCAAATTCTCATTGACTTGTCATTGTCTCCATTTGCTCTTCATTAGAATGTTGCTTGTTTTGTGCAAGTGTTTGTTGCAATCAATGATTCAAAGCACGGTAGGCCAAGCGGAGATCCTTGACAACAAGGCTGGCAGGCGTCCCAGGAAATGAATGCTTGGAGTGAACCGACGATCTTGCCAGGCCATCAGATTCGTCTGCCCGCCTTTTGGACTAGCCGAGCCGCTAGCCCAGGAGAACTTCAGTCATGAGTTTTTGCTACAGGAGAGTCAATGTCAAGGGTATGCAGCCTTTATTATGTCAATTTATGCATATTTATGCTCAAGTCAGTGACGTGCGGCGGGGGGGGCACAGACTGATCAGCGTTTTGTTTCTGAAGCACGGGCGGCGGAAACCATGCCCGTCATCTTGATGTCCGATTGCGCCGGATTGGAGCCTTTGAAAGAGCTTTGCAGGTGTGAGTTGGGTTTGAGACACAACGAAAATATGATTTAGTATAAGAGTCCTTGCCAGTCAGTCACCCAGTCGCATTGCGTCAAAGGGTTCTTAGCGTCTCTCCTGCCAGGAAAGCAAACGTGCCATCAACCTTGGCCTATGCCTCGGAATCGGAGCCAGCTCTCCGCAACCGCATCGCGAACTTGCACCCGAAAGCCTTTGTTTCCGATGATGCCAGGAAACACCTGCCAGGACATGTTCTGAAGAAGGTCAAGGGCCAGACAAACCCCGTTGTGTACTCGGCAGGTGCGCCCTGCCAACCCTATAGCAAGATAGGCAGACGTGGAGGAGAAAGCGATGAACGAAGCGATCTACAAATGACCGTTCCTTGCCACAACTTAACTTAATGAAACAATTGAAATTGACGATTGGTCAGCGCCGTGTCGCTGCTGTAAGCTTGCCTAGGCTGCCAATAGGATCGCAAAGATCCAGCCGGATGCCTTCTTGCTCGAGCAGGTGCCCGACATTGTCAAGCACAAGAAGTTCTTTGGCAACGTCTTGGCCAAGTAACTCGACTGAACCACTCAGTCCTATTTAAATTCATTCGTAATGTCTAGTCATTGATTACCAAAAGTCTGAGGCTGCGGATGCCTGGCTACACCGTGAAGCACAAGGACTTTGCGTCCAGTTAGTTGCAGTTGTTGGGTCACGTTGTTGAGTCCGTCAGTGATTTTCCTAAGTTGAGCTGCGTCAGGTCTTGAATTCTCTTTGTCACGGAATGGCCACTGAGCGGAAGAGACTTTGGATTGTGGGTTACAAGACCAAGAAAGCTAAACGTCATTGACCCAGCTTGCCTAAGAACTTGGCCAGTCCAGTCAATTGGCTCCTTTTTTGATGAGGCGCCTTCAAATTCCCGCTGCCCTCCAAGAAGAAAGTGTCCGTGCGGCAGCTTATTGCAAAGCTGCTTGTCACTGACCATTAGGTCCGACGAGTCTAGCATGAGTTAAAACCATCAAACATCTGCGCCTAGCCATCCACACAGTCATTTGCTCAGGAACAGCCCGGATGCGCGCAAGGGTCCTCCCACTTGCAAAACTGGGGTGCAGCGGTTGAAGGAAGCTTTGGACTACATCAAGAACGTGAAGAAGCGTGATCCAAGCAAGGAACTGTGGTGGCCACCTCAGTTTTTGATTCGTCGTCGTCGTCGTCGCTTCACTGGATTTTAAAGAAACTTGGAGGTTCGTGGACACGGCAGCATCGAAGACCTTCAAAGGCAAACCCACACGCAACAGG